CACGGCCACCGCAGCCTCGACCTGCTGGGCTCAGGCAATCCTTCCGCCTCAGCCTTCCAAGTAGGGGAATCACAGGCACATGCCACCATGCCTGGCTAATTTTTTTTGATTTATTGTAGAAATAAGGTCTTGCTATGTTGCCGAGGCTGGTCTTGAACCCATGGACTCAGGCACTCCTCTCACCTTAGCCTCCCAAAGTGCTGGGATTATAGGCGTGAGCCACCGTGCCCAGCCAAAAAGTATATATTCTTACATGTTTAAACTTGAGTCACTTTCAAAGGACTCTCTGTTTGACGCAATACACCTGTTAAGATGCTTTTTCCACTGCTCAAAACAGTTTTTGAACTCACCAATTTTGATGCCTTTTGGTGCTTCTGCTGTTTTTTGTTCCATCTCTTCCCTTTGAGTTCTTTTTTTCATTGGAAAACAAACAAACAAAAAAAGTTGCTGGGAGCAAGATTGGGTGAATAGAGAGGGTGAGCATGGGGTCATGATATTTTGGTCAAAAACTGCTGAATATTCAGCGCAGTGTGGACAGCTACACTCCTAAATCACCTATCACAAAATGGGCATATGTGTTGAAAGAATCTCAAAAAAAAAAAAAAAATCCATTGAAGCCAAACACAGCCTCTTACAACAATACTAGCTAGTACACCGATGCCCATGGGCACCTAGAACACTTACCTAGCAGGGAAGCCTGTATTACAAAAGCGGCCCACTTTTCAAAAGATAATTCTGGGCTTTTTTGGATGTTCCCTTGCACAATGAGTATTGATCAAATCAGGGCAATTAGCATATCCATCACTTCACACATTTATCATTTCTTTTTGTTGGGAACATTTCAAATCTTCTCTGCCATCGATTTTGAAATATACAATAAATTGTTGTTAACTATAGTCACCCTACAGTGCTAGATCTTATTCCTTCCGTCTAACTGTATTTTTGTACCCTGCCCCTGAATGTAATGTTAAGATGTCTTCAAGATAGTACATATTTGTTTTTTAGATACAGGGTCCTTCTCTGTTGCCCAGACTGTGTGCAGTGATGTGCTCATAGCTCACTGCAGCCTGGAACTTCTGGGGTCAGGTGATTCTCCTGCCTCAGCCTCCCAAATAGCTGGGACTGCAGGCGGGAGCTACCATGTCCAACTCAATTTTTATTTTTTGTAGAGACAAGGTCTCTCTATGTTGCCCAGGTTGGTCTTGAATTCTTGGCCTCAAATGATCTTCCCACCTAAGCCTCCCAAAGTGCTGGGATTACAGGTGTGAGCCACTGTACTCGGCCAATACTATACATTGAAAGTGTGTCTGATGTTTTTCTACTTTCCTTTCTCCCTCCATCTGACATGAAGAACAGTGTACTGATCTGATTTTTAAGGATCTCTTTGTCTGTTATGTAGTAAGGGTCTGTTTGGCATTGCACTGAAACATTCTGTGTTCAGTTCAAAGTCTGCTTATTTCAGGGGTACGGGGTCACTGCATCCTTAGCCAGTGTCACAAAATATGCAGAGTAGTAATTTGAAATGGTAAGTTATAACATATGGAAACGCAACACCAAAAGCTGTGAAATGTCTCATGTCATGCATTCTCTGTATTCGTGTAGCTGATTTTTCTGTCACTGAGCTGTGCATGCAGGTCGCTGTCTCCAGCTACGCTGCATGTGTGATCCACAAAGATTCCAGGCAGCTGCCACCTGGTCTCTTCTCCATTACCATAGTTTGGTTTAAGTAAACTCTATAGTGACAATGAACCTAAAAAAGAAACAGTAGCCTGCCTGGGGTCACAGAGCCAGTATGTCTTGCAGGTGGTGTGTCATCTTTAGGAGGGATGTGTCCCTGGAAGATACAGCTTGGAGTTGGCTAAGGGTGGGATGAATTGTGTGTGTAAAAGACTACGAAATTTGTAGTTGGTAAGTGGCTAGACTGACTTACGGGGTAGGCTGGAATTGGGAACGTGCACCACCAGCGGTCATATGTGTTGTGCATTTAAGTACCACATGTGGAGGTTCATGTCCTTAGGTACTCACTGTGTGCAGCTGTTCAACTGGAAGTTCTTGTGTGTCACAGGTCGTGTGTGTGACATGGCGTGGCTGACCTGAGTTGATCATGCACCGTACCTAATTTAATCTAAGATGTCATTTACAAAAAGATACCTTGTGGGTTTTGTTACCACTCAGACTCTGACTGACTATCCATCACACGCCCCTCTCCGTGATACGGAAGTATACAGTGTGCCTCTCGGAGTGGCTGGGGAACTGTCCACAGGAGCCACAGATTGCTGGATTGTGTCGGGAAGAGCCTGTCATAGGTGCCAGATGCAGGGCAGGCACCCAGGGCTGGCCCTTGGAGATCCCTTGGTCAGGTCTTTCCTTTCTGTCCAGCTCTGCCTGTGCTGTCCAGAAGGCCAGGGGAGCCAGGATCAGAGGTTCCTGTGCTGGGCATGGCCCCAGAGGAACCTGCAGGGATCTGAAGTCTCATTTAGGCCCTTATCAAATCTCAAAGTGTAGTTGGGAGTCTCCCTTTTTTCCCTCCCTCGGAATCTTGTCCTAACCCACAAACGGCTGAGCTGGGATCATCTGCCCATTTTACATATGGGGAAATTGAGGCCCTAAGAAGAGGTGAGATTTAGACAAAACCATCCTAAGAGGGACAGAGCCAGTTTCTGAACCCAGGTCTCCTGACCCCAAATCCAGCTTCACTTCTCCTCCAGAATAATTGCTCCCCTTCCCCTCCCCCCAGGAAACAGCACTCCCAGTTTATCTGGGCCCCAGGAAAGGCATGGAGGGGGAGGCGAAAGTAAGCGGGGCAGAGGAAGTGTTCTTGGCGGTGGAAGAACATGGAGAGGATGCCTTCTCATACCCCCAGACACAAATGCCCTGCCCCCTGATTTGCCACTCATTAATGCATCCACTCATTTACTTACTCATTCATTAATTCACCCACTCGTTCATTCACTCATTCGCTCAACTCACACATTAATGCACCCCCTCATTAATTCCCCCATCCACTCACTCACTAATTGGTGCACTCACTAATTCGCCCACTCTTGCTCATGGATGTCACCGAGTCCCTCCAACCTGCCCTTCCAGCCAGCAGCAGAGGACAGGCTCAGCCCCTCCTACCTTCTGCATTGTGACTTTACCTCACCAGCTGAACTGGAAGCCCTCAAAAGCAACTGCATATAAGGCGACAGGGCTGGAGGGAGAAGAGCAGTGTGCCCCTTGGGCCGAAGACAGGCAGGACTAGCTGCAACGTGTTCAGGGCCCAGTCCCCAGAGCAAGTGCACCGCCCCTCGTTCGAAAACTAACAGTGAGCAGTTTCAAGATGGCAACAGCAGAGCATTTAACCCAGCATGGGAACTTCCTATTCATGGGGCTCCGTGTGACCGCACAAGTGGTGCCCTGTGAAGCCCACCCTTAGGGAGGCGACAGGTGGAGGGAAACGACACGAGTGGGGACACAAAACAGGAGGGGAGCCAGGTGCCATGGCTCACGCCTGTAACCCCAGCACTTTAGGAGGCTGAGGTGGAAGGATTGCCTGAGCCCAGGAGTTCGAGACCAGCCTGGGCAACATAGTGAGACCTCATCTCTACAAAAAAATGTTTTAAAACAGTCGGATGTGGTGGTGTGCCCCAGCTACTCTAGAGGCTGAGGAGGGAGGATCACCTGAGCCCAGGAGGTGGAGGCTTTGTGAGTCATGATTGTGCCACTGCATTCCAGCCTGGGTGACAGAGTGAGGCCCCAACTTAAAAACAATAACCCAAACAAAACAAAACAAAAAAGAGAGGGAGCAGGACAAGGGCTGGACACCTGCCAGGTACTACCTGGTTTTTCTTTGTCGTCTCATTTAATACTCAAACCACCCTGTGAGGCTGAGTGTACATTTCACAGAGAAGGAAACTGAGGCTCAGGGGAGAGAATCATTTACCCGAAGTCACAATTAGTAGGTGGTCGGCGCCTGAGTGTAAACCCAGGGCTGTGGGCTGCCAACCTTGTCTCCGCCCCTTCGGGGATGGAGGGGGGTAGAGGGGAGGAAAACGGGAATGTGACAGGGAAATCTGAGATGGGGCCAGGGCTAAGGGAGCTGTGGGAGCTGGAGGGGCATAGTGAGATCCTAGGGAGCAGGACTGGGGAAGTAGAGGTGAGTCTGGCCCTCCTAAATTTCTAGGTCGTTCTGCTCCTGAGGGAGTGGGAGGACTGGAAGGGAATTGGAAGGGCGTTCCCAGAACTAGGATGCACCATCGGCATCCAGGCCCAGGATCTGGGTTTCTAGATCATGCGCCATGAGGTCGTCTTATCTCTGTAGGAGCATTGAGGCAGAAGTCAATGATTTGGGAAGTTATTGAATCAGGGCGTCTTGGAGGTGGGCTGTCAGTGTCTGATTGTATCAGTTGGAATGCCCGACCGGGGTGACAATGGCTGGAGGTGGCTGAGTCAGGGGTCAACCGCGTGCCGGTGACTTATGGTGCCTGCCTTGCAGAATTGATAACTGAATATCGGTGCCCCAACAGTTGTAATTAACACCCCAGGCGTCAGCCAGAAACCCGCAAACAACCAAATCCCCGCGGCCCCGCCCAGCCTATCCACGGCAGGGACCGATTAACCATTAACCCCCACCCCTCCCCGGCATAGCCTCCACCCCTCCAGGCAGAGGCTAGGCCGAGGCTCCTGGCAGATCCTCCCAGAAGACAGTTTGAAGGAAAGCAGAGAGGGCACCTGGAGGAGGTGGTGGGAAGGCGGAGGACAGGGGCTGGGGCTCAGCCCAGAGCCTTGGGGTGGACATCCTGGGCAGCGCAGGGGGCTGAGGCGTGGAGGCAGGGGAGAATGCGCCTCTCCAAAACCCTGGTCGACATGGACATGGCTGATTACAGTGCGGCGCTGGACCCGGCCTACACCACCCTGGAATTTGAGAATGTGCAGGTGTTGACGATGGGCAATGGTAGGTGGGGGCAGGTGTGCCGGGTGCAGGAGGAGGATGATGGAAGATGGTAGGTTGGCCTTATCGACCAGCACAGGTGTTGCCAGGTAAAGCACCTGTGCCCGGGTACCGCAACCAGGTGAAGGCAAATGTCCAGCAAAGGTAGATCCCAGGGGTTCCCCCAGGCCCTTCCAGTTCGCGTCACCTCACAGCTGCTCTCCTGGGCGCCGTGACATGGTGATGAACTCCCTCTTGGCGTCCAGCTGCAGTGATTCAGCCCGACACGACCCCTTCTGGAACCCCTTTGGCCCAGCTCCAGCGCTATGTGAAGGGATGTCCTGTCCCCGGAGGTGGTGGCCGCAGGCACAACTGCATTTCAGAGTGTCTTTGGGATTTTCCTAGGGTAGCTGGTGCTTAGGGAAATGGCGTTCTCCGGGAAGTTTTGCTCATGGGAAGGCAAAGCAGCAGAGTGCGGTCGTGAGTTTCTATGCGAGTGTCCTCTACCAACAAGCGTGTTCCTTAGGGGACGCATTTGCGTACTTGTGTTCATTTGACTGTGTGTGCGTGTTCCATGTCTATTTCCCTTTGTGTTTGTTCATTGGGGGTGTGTGTGTGTGTGTGTGTGTGTGTGTGTGTGTGTGTGTGTGTGTGTGTGTGGTTTATGTATGTGACAGTGTATATGTGTCTGGATGTTTGTACACATGTGCTGTGTATGCAGGCCACCAAGTGCATGTGTCGCGATATGGAATGTTCGCGTGCTCTGTGCTTTCTTCACATTTATCCTGCATGGGCATTCGTCGTGTGCTCATGTTGTGCCTGCTGTGTACACGTGCACGTCCCCTGGACTGTAGAGAGTGCCAGCACCCGCAGGTGTGCAAGTGTGTTATGTTGCCATTTGCCAGATGAGACTCATATCAGCAGCACGTCCATCTGTTTCTGAGCAGAGTTGGTTGCCCAAGTGCTTCTCCCCAGGTTTATACACCTGCTCTAACATCACGAAGTGCACGTCTGGAGGTAGTGGGCGGTTCTCCACAAGGAGGTGGGAGAGGGAGGAAGAGGCCTAGAAGCCCATCCTGGGGAGGAAGTGTCCCCTGCGTCCCAGGCTAGCCTCAGAGAAGAGGTGGCAGCTGGCTGAGGTCAGCCTGTCTGCTTCTTTCCATGAACTGGAGTTACACAGCCGGTGTCAGGCTATGGCTCCAGTCGAGGTCTGGGAGCTTGGAGGCAGCTCAGCTAGAATGAGGAGGCAGCCGCCGGCCACTGCTTGTGGTCATTCTCACCAGGTGCTCACCCACCCCTGCTGTCACTCATTGTGTGACCACCCCTCCTGGCCTCTATATCTTCTCTAAAATGTGCTACATCACCCCGGGCCAGCTGGCTAGCCAGCTTTTAGGAGTGTCCGAGGACCATGTGAGGGGCTCGAGGCAAAAATACACCGGAAATGGCCTGCAAGTTGCTGTTGCACTTGGCAGGTGTTGTGTGACCCAACTGGAATAGAACGTGGTATCACAATCCTGATCACCACCCAACCCTGGGCTGCCAGCCCCATTACTCTTCCAGAGCCTAGGAACCGTGGGCCCCAGAGGCAAAGGCCAAGCCCCTCAACTGGGCATCTCAAAGACAAGAAAGACAGCCTCTAGCTCTGGAACCAGAAAGATCTGGGTTCAAACCTGACATAGGCCCTTCCTACCTGTGCAGACCCAGCAAGCCATTTTCCCTCCAAACCTCAGTATCCTTATCTGTAAGACAGGGATCCATAACAGTTGCTTGCCTCCTAGGGCTATACAGAGGATAAATAGGTGTCTGTCGCTCAGCCCTGGTAACTGGCCCCGTCCCCCGCATGGGTCGTCTCAAGGACTCTGATCATCTGCTGGAAGGGTCTCCAGCCTCCCCTGCTGGAGTTGGAAGTGGTCTGAGGGTTGGAGTTATGTGAGGCTATCATCTAAAGTGGTTTTTTTTGGAAGGTGGGGGCTGAGTCACGGTCTCACCCAGGCTGGAGTGCAGTGACACAATCACAGCTCACCACAGCCTCAACCTCTAGAGCTCAGTCAATCCTTCTGCCTCAGCCTCCTGAGTAGTTGGGACTACAGGTGCATGCCACCATGCCTGGTTAATATTGTTATCTTTTGTAGAGACAGAGACTTGCTATGTTGCCTAGTCTGGTCTCAAACTCCTGGGCTCAAGCCATCCTTCTGCCTCAGCCTCCCAAAGTGCTGGGATTACAGGTGTGAACCATCATGCCTGGCCCCAGTGTGCTTTGAGCACATCCTAGGCCAGAGGCTCAGAAGCTCCCAAGATATGCACCCCTCATCCTCACCCCCAGTGCAGCAGCAGGAGGAGGAGGAAGAGCTCCTTGTGTGTCACAAGCCCCAGCAGACACCAACACGTGCAGCACGGCCAGCATTGTCCACACACCTGGACCATAAACCTGGGCCCTCCCTAGCGGCGGTGTGATGACCCTGGACAAATCGCTGGAACTCTCTGAGCCTCAGTGTCCTCATCTGGAAGATGGGGTTGAGATTGGCTGACCTGGGGGAGACGATACACCTGACAATCCACCCCACCTAGTAGGTGGGAACCCCTTCCCAGACACCCCCTGAGTGGCTGGGAGTTGGGAGGTCAGCTCTCCCCGGGGGTCGGGGAAGGAGAGACTGAGGGAGAAAGGGCACCAGCGCGGCTTAACAATTATCCCCACCTCCAGGAATAATTCACCAAGTGGAGGGGGCTGTGTCCTGGGCACACTCGGAATCTTAGATGCTTCACAGGGTGATGGCTTGCTGAGATGGGGTGGTGCCTGCCTGTGCACCAAACCTGGACGTCCTGAGCGTCAAGAGTTTCCTTCTGTAGTAAAGCTTGAGTTTCACAAACACTGCTGCAGTGCTTACTGGGCACCAAGCCATTTATACACACGGTTTCACTGAATCTCATAAGAACCCAGGGGATTATTATGTTCCCCATTTCACAAGTGACGAAACAAAGACGTGAAGAAGTAAATGAACACAGCTAAAAAGTGGGCACGCTGGGGCAGGACCCTGGGTGGAAGGCCAGGATCCCAGGCGGAAGCCCTCCCGAGTCTGAGCTCTTACTGCATTGTGATACCCTCTCCAGGGCTTAACCAGGCTTCCCTTGGGAATCCAAGATCAGATTCAAGGTTTCTATGAAACGCGTGTATGTGTGTGCATGCGGATGTGCGGACTGTGTGCTGTGTACACGCTTGCGTTTTTCTGGGGGCATGGACCATGGCATGACCATCTTCTTCAAAGGGCCTATCCTTAGTGGAAGATTGCTTATTAACAGAAAGGGGATTCACCTGCAAATACTATTTTAAAATTTGAAAACAATCAGACCAAACTGCTCCCTTTTATAATTGGGGAAACTGAGACCCAAGGGAAACTGTAGCGAGGAAAAGGAACTTGCCCAAGGTCACAGGTGAGTTAGTGTGGCAGCAGCTTAGTGCCCCAGGCTCTTGGTGTTCTGGCCTCGTAGCCCCTCCTCGTGCTTATAGATGCAGTAGGGAGAATTCTCGAGACATGCCCTGACCCTGCCATGCCCCTCCAGGAAGGCAAATGAGTGACTGTTCTTGGTGCATGTCTTCTCTGCTCCCCAGAGAATCTCTCCCACGAGGAGACGCAGACCTCACTAATAGCTCTGTGAAGTCAGTGTCACATCTGTAAACCATCCCCAGTTTACAGAAACTGAAGTTCCAAACGACCGAGTGACACCCAGATGTCACTGAAGGGGGAGATCAGCTGAAGCCCTGGAAAGATCCCCCCACAGCTCCTTTTGATTTCTGACTTTCTGCCCCTCCCAAGGCCTCACTCCCTTCTCTTCTGGTGCAGACACGTCCCCGTCAGAAGGCACCAACCTCAACGCGCCCAACAGCCTGGGTGTCAGCGCCCTGTGCGCCATCTGCGGGGACCGGGCCACGGGCAAACACTACGGCGCCTCAAGCTGTGACGGCTGCAAGGGCTTCTTCCGGAGGAGCGTGCGGAAGAACCACATGTACTCCTGCAGGTGAGGAGCCCCCTGTGCAGAGTCTCGATTTCTCTGACTGGGAAATGGGCACTCAGGCTCATGTCCCCGAGTCTGTCTTCTCCCTGAGCGCGTCCCAGAGGTGTCTGCCCTTCAAGGCCTTCAAGGCTGTTCTGGCTTCCGGGGCTTTGTGGATCCAAGGAAGAGCATCTATTCTAGAAACGCATTTGCTGATCTAGAGCCCTGGCTGCCCCTTAGTGAGCACTGTCCATTGCCAGACGCCATGCTGAGTCTTCACGTCTATTTCACCATCCCTGGGAGCCCATCGTTATTTTTTCCATTAGGTAGCTGAGGCTTAGGATCAAGCCTCCTCTGAAGCCTGGAAGAATGGGCCCATCCTCTGACTTAGTGCTTTTTCTGGAACGAATAGGAGATTGGCCGCAGGCTTTGCGCCTAACTCAAGGGCTTCCCAAGCCTTAGAGAGCCCTCCTTCAAAAGCATCTCCTGTTCTAGTAACAATAGGAGCATCATAGCAGCTGTCAGCCATGAGTGCAGGCCATGTGCAGATACCACGCCCATCCACGCACAACCTCATCTCACCTGTCAACACAGCTCTGTGATGGTTACTCTTGTCATTACCATTTTATGGATGAGGAAGCTGGGGCTTGGAGGGCTAGGCATTTGCCCAAGGTCACCCAGCGTGAATCAACAGCAGAGTCAGTGTTGGCACTCAGGACCCCACCCATCACCACCACCTCCACTTTTTATCTCCCTCCAGAGAGAGGCTTGTGGACCAAATATGCACTCAAAGCCACAACCAGGGGTCTGCTCTGGGTCCTGGGCTTTTATAGGACATGGTGGAAATAGCAGTGCTCTGGTCCTCAAGAGACCAAGGCTCCCAACTCAGCCCTACCGCCAACCTGCGGAGTGAGCCAGGGCCACATGTGGCCTCTCTGAGCCTCAGTTTCTCCATGTTTAGTGGGATGGGATTGGATTCTTAGAGAGTCCACAGGACCTCGCCAGCTCCTGGTGGGTTCGCACAAGAACTCCTGGGAGGCTGGGCTTGGTGGTTCAGCCTGTAATCCCAGCACTTTGGGAGGCCATGGCGAGTGGATTGCCTGAGCCCATGGGTTCGAGACCAGCCTGGGCAACTTGGTGAGACCTCATCTCTCCAATACATGAAAAATTAGCCAGTGCAGTAGTGTGTGCCTGTAGTTCCAACTACTTGGAAGGCTGAGGTGGAAGGATTGCCGGAGCTCAGCAGGTCAATGTTGGGGTGGCCGTGAGTGTGTCACTGTACTCCATCCTGGGTGACAGAGTGAGACTCCAACTCAAAAAAAAAAAAAAAAGAACTCCTGGGATGAGGGAATAGAGCACAGAGGAGGGGATGGCCCTGGATGGCCAGGGCCCTAGATCTGTTCGAGGAGGGGAACGTTGTGTCTTCTCCATCCAACCATCCAAAGCCCTCCCCAGGTTTAACCGTCAGTGCGTGGTGGACAAGGACAAGAGGAACCAGTGTCGCTACTGCAGGCTTAAGAAGTGCTTCCGGGCTGGCATGAAGAAGGAAGGTGAGTCTCGCCTCCCTCACCCCACTGCCCGCTGCCCCACCCATGCCCACAGCTCCCCACAGTTATTTACAACTAGAGCCACATTTTATGACTCGGTGACAGGCCCTGGGGTGACTAGCTAATGGCTGAGAGGAGGGAGGGCCTGGAAATCTGACCACAGGGAGCGGCTGGGCTTGGTCTTGAGAAAGACTCAGCGAGATAAGCTCCCACTCGGCTAAGCAGGCTCCCAGCAACCACCACCCCAGCCCACCTGTGCCACCACAGGGCAGCCATGCTGGGTGGTTTTTCTTATTATAATATTCCCAGCATTAGGGAAAGCATAGAGAATGATGTCATAGACATCCATGTACCCATCACCTCAACCTCACAAGGATGATGGAGATGGGAGCCCTACACCCGAACTTCCTCCCAGGGATGAGGGCCCCAGTTTCCTTAGTCTTCCTTCCTGGGTGTCAGATGATCTCCAAAGTGCTCACACTAGAAAAGGGGAACAGGGCACCAGACCCATCCTGGACGGAGCAGGATGAGAAGACAACATGGATTAAGACTTGTCGGGTCTCCTGCCCCTGGCACCGGACTAGGTTTTTTCCGCCTATTTCCTATCTCATTTCATTCTCACAATGACCCTGTGTAGCTGGAACTACATCTCGATTCCCCTTTCATGATGAGGGAACCGAGGCCAAGTGGTGAAGCGACTTGTCCAAGGCCCCACTGCTGGTCACTGGGAGATCTGGGGTTTGAACCCAGAGCTTCGTGCTGCTTGGACATCACTTCAGTGCTCTACCTCATGGCTCCAGACCCCAGGAACATTTAAAATTGTCTTCAGCCCAAGCACAGGAAGCAAACATCTTCTAACTGCTTTTCAAAGTGACTTGAGTTCATTTTCAAATCTCTCCAACCCCTTCGCCTCTCAACTTACTCTCCCAGCTCTGGGTCAAGCCCCCACCTTCACTTCTCACCCACAGCCATGCCAGGGCAACCAAACCCTGGTATAGTTCCACACAAAGACGCACACCCAACCCCGGAAGTGGGAACCCAGGACCCAATCTGCCCAGGTCCTCTGAGAAGGAGGAGAGAAAAGGTTTTGGCAGCCCCCACTAATCTCTGCCTCTGATCCGCTGTTTTCTCCACCCCCTTAGAAATATCTTCTGTGTCTCATCCCTACCAGGTTTTGTTTTTGTTTGTTTGTTTTTTAAATATAGAGACTAGGTCTCACTATGTTGCCCAGGCTGGTCTCAAACTCCCGGGCTCAAGCAATCCTCCTGCCTAGGCCTCCCAAAGTACTGGGATTGCAGACATGAGACACTGCCCCCAGCCCTACAGGGCCTTAGTCTGAGCTCACGGGCTCATGGGAAAATCTGAATTTGCTAATACTGATGAAGGAGTGGGTGGTCTGCTCCTGCTCTGAACACCACCATTTCAACATCCAGACTTCAGTGGTTCTCTAACTAAAGGCAGGACTTTCTCTAACTGCCAACACCCCCTCCTCTCCCCGACTCAGTTCCCAATGGAGCTGAGCCTCTCTCACCGATGCTCACTTCTGCTTTTTGGAACGGGAAGTGTTATGAATGGGCATGTACACTTGGAGACAAGAAAGAGATTGAGAGCTGCAACCCAAGGGTCTAACACGTTGTAGCTGTTGCAGTCAGTGAATCTGTCGACCTACCAGCCCAAGATTCTAGGCACTGCAGTTGCCCAGAGGGCACTGTGTTTGAGAGAATGACTCTCATGGTGACATTTCAGGTCCTTTGATGGGCAGGTGGCAGACAGGCTGGAAGGTGGCTCCCTCCCTAGCCGGATGCAGCCTGGTCCTGCATGTGTCTTTGTTTGTGTCTCTTGTTAAACTTCTAGTCATTTTCACCCGTGTCGCTTTAGGGACGTTTCTACCTTTCTGGGCTCCAGTTTCCCCCTGTATAAAATGAGATAGTTGGATAATGATCCCTTTAGCCCCATGAGTCTAGCTAACCATTGACCTACCTGTAGAAGTTCACACTACCCGCCAGGACATGTGGTTTGTGCCCTGGTCCTCTGCTGAGCTGCCACAGAGCCAGCAGGACCCGAACCAGATCCGAAAGGTAAGGAGAGCCCCAGCCTCAGCTCAGCCTTGAAAATGGCCACTTGCTTCTTGGTCCAAGGGAAACTGACGTTCTGCCATGAGGACAGGAGAGTTGGCGGATGGCAAGTGAACATGGCCAGTAAACGCTGGTGTTTATTTACATGCCTGGGTTGACAGGAAGATTGTGACCCATGTAGTCGCTGGGTCATTTTGAAGATGGGCCAGGGTGACTGAGTGTCCAGTTGCACTGAGGTCAAGGCCTGGGGAGAAGGGATATTGCCAACTCGGCTCAACTCTTATAGACCCCTCCTCAAGCAGATGGGACGCTCCCGAGGTCAAAAGAAAGACCTCATGGAGTCTCACCGATCAGGAGAGTTGGGACAAGTTTTCATTTATTTTTCTTAATGACCTTAGGAGAATTTGGGTACAGGAACCCCAAAGTCCTCATAGTCCCTTGAGGACCAGGAAGCACAAGCTGGAAGTCTGGGATTAAAGACGAGAGGTCATCAACTTCATTCTCTCAGATGAGGAAACTGAGACCAGAGAGGTGATGTGATGGGTCAAGGGTGGAACTCAGTCTCCCTAGAGCTGAGCAGACACCAAGCTCTTGTAATGAAACTTGAAGTGATCAGTTCTTCTCTACCACAGGGAAGGGCTTAAATAGGCTTGACAGTCTTGGCCAGAGGACGTTCCACAGTGGCTGGAATATCCATGGAGGGACAAAGACTCCTGGGAGAAACCTGGGGGTCAGCGGGCCACCAACAGGCCAGAAATTCTTTCCAACGACCCAAGGCCAGGGAGACAGACACCTGCCTGGACCTCAGCTGTCAGACCCAGGGCCGGCTCCCAGCATCCAAAACCCGGTTCAGAAAGCAGGACCAGAGGGGTTGCAGGAGGCGAGGTTGCTGACGGGCCAGAGGCCATCCAACGGGACCTTCCTCGGAAGCTCTGCTTCCCCGGGCCCCCATCCTGGGGTTCTCTGGGAAGATCGCCTCAGCTCCTCTCCGCCACTGCCCGGGCCGGTTAATATTCAATAGAAGTTACATTAGGTCCCCGACCCTGCTAATACTGAGCAAACATTTGGAAAACATCATTCCGTGACTGAGCTCGCGCCGGGCACTGATAACGCCCGCCTAACCTTGAGGAGCCCTATCCGCAGCTGCTGACAGCAGCCCTTTCATTCCGCCCGCCGGCCACTCGGCGCCCTGGTGGGTGTGGGTGCTGGCAGGCGGCTGCGTGCGAGGGGTGTGAGCAGGCAGGGTGAGCCCAGGCAGGGGAGCGGTTATCTGCACCAGCCCCCTCCATGCGGTCGGTCTGAGAGGAGATTTCTTTTTAAATTGTCATTTTAAAAATAGAGGCAGAGTCTTGCCATGTTGCCCAGGCTGGTCTCGAACTCCTAGCCTCAAGTGATCCTCCTGCCTCAGCCTCCCAAAATTCTGGGACTGTAGGTGTGAGCCACCCCACCCAGCCCAGAGATTATATCTGATAGACTCCCAGGCTCTATGTAAACTATTTGACTTTTAATATCGAATTTTAATAATGTGTGAAAACCAAGAGAAGGTTGAGTCACTGGGATGCCAATGTTCCGTGTTTGTAAGGAGAGAGCGTCTATCATCCAATGCCTTTATTATTATTATTATTATTACTGTTTTTATTATTATTTGAGTTGTGGTCTCCCTGTCACCTAGACTGGAGTGCAGTAGCATCATCACAGCTTACCACAGCCTCGAACTCCTAGGCTCAGGTGATCCTTCTGCCTCAACCTCTTGAGTAGCTACAGGCACACACCACCACGCCTGGCTAATTTTTTAACTTTTTTGTAGAGATGAGGTCTTACTATATTACGCAGACTGGTCTTGTACTTCTGAGTTCAAGCGATCCTCTTGCCTCAGCCTCCCAAAGTGCTGGGATTACAGGCATGAGTCACGATGACCAGCTATCCAACACCTTCTTTCACTCACTCCACACGTATTTATTGAGCACCTACTGCACGCCCGACTCTTTCCAGTTGCCGGGGTTCCAGCAGTGAACAAGAAGGATGAAGTTTGGGCTTTCTGAAGCTTTCCTTCTCATAGAGAGGCAGAGAACCAAGAGACTAACAATCCTACAATAAGGGCCTTGAAGAAAAATAAAGCAGGGAGGGGGCAGGGCATGGAGGGCCATGTCGGGGAGGGTGGCCAGAGAGGCGATAGGAGAGGCAATATTTGTACGGAGACAGGAAAGAGAATTCCAGGCAGCAGGAAGAGCAGCAGCCAAGGCCCAGAGGGAGAGTGTGCACAGGGAGGGGGCTTGGCGGGAGCGGTGACTGGAGAAAAACCTGGGAGTGGGAGGAGAGGAAGGTCCATCGTGAGGACTTGAGGCCGGGAGACACCGGTTTTGAGCCACGGGGAACGTGACCTGGGCGTGTTTGAATGGATCCCTCTGTCTTCTGAGAGGAGTACAGACGAGAGCCACGAGGCCAGAGTGGGAGCCCAAGAGGAGGCCTGTTCCAGTGCAGGGAGACAGCAGGGCCCCAAGCAGGGCGGAAGCAGTGGGTCTGTTTTGTCAGGCCACTCATGGTACGTGGGGTGTTAGGGCAGGGAGGCAGAGCAAGATGCCCAGGCTCTGGCCATGGGACTGGAAGAATGGGGAGACTGAGGCCCAGAGAGAGGCTGCGATTCCCACCAGTACACAGAGAATGCATGGCAAGTTCCAGACGAACCCAGGTCTCCTTTAGCCTCTTCCTCCCGCCTTCTGCTTCACTCCACAGCGAGGCCTCTTGGACTCCAAGGGAGGCTTATGTCTTAGGCCAGGACTGACCCGGGTGGGGGTGGGCAGTGGGGCATGAGGCCCTGGTGGACTGCGGCCCAGGATCCCTGAGTGCCGAGGAGAGCCCTGCAGCAGGGCGGGAGAGAGACAGCTTGGCCTTGCAGACTCTGAGAAGGCTAGTCTGGAGCACATGCAGCTTTGGCTGACGGAGGAAACCGGCAAGGCTGGCGGGGCCAGGTCCTCTTACTCAGGAGGCCCTGGCCATCTCCATGCTGCCCAGAGCAATATGTTTCGCTTATTTTACCCACTTTCATTTGTAAAGAAAGGGACCCTTGTCTGGAACAGAGCTTGGAAGTCTTTCATCTATCAGATTCCCTCCACCATGCTCAAGACCCATCTTAGCCCTTGGCAAGTCATCACTGTCTTACATGCCCCTCCTGATGGGAGGATCACTCCTGCAGCCTCCCACCGCACTGGGGGTTGAGGAAGTTCTGCTATTTGGAAAGTTCGTCCACACGCTGAGTTAGAGTCCATCTCCCCTCACCCCACAGGCTGATGTGGGCTCTGTCCTCTGGATGCCCCCTCCTGTTTCCCACCCTGTGTTTCCTTTGCTCTGGGACAGCCCTGCCGTCTCTCTTCCTGGGCTGAACTCTCTCCTCTGGCACCTCATCCACTCCCCATCCGTCACAGGCTCTCCCACCCCCTCGCCCCATCCCTGCTCCCTCTCCTCACCTCTCCTGGCCTCCTCACAGCCGTCCAGAACGAGCGGGACCGGATCAGCACGCGGAGGTCGAGCTATGAGGACAGCAGCCTTCCCTCCATCAGCGCGCTCCTGCAGGCGGAGGTCCTGTCCCAGCAGGTACTGGCGGCCTTCCCACCCTTCAGGGTACCCGCCAGAGGAGCTCACCTCCTCCACCTCTGCCCTCCCCAGCCAGGCCCTGGAGCCGATGAAGGAAAGGGCCTCAGATCACAGAAGGGCACTGAGTCCAGCTTCACACAGTCAGTTTAGTAGCAAAGGCAAAACTTGAACCCAGGTCTGGTGCTCCGGGGTACTTTCTGGTTCATCCCCTAACTATATCTCCTGGGCCAAGCAGAGTCTTTGCTCTCACTAAGGGCCTGAGATTAGCTCGGCCCCAAGAGCACAGCAGTGGGCAAGTGGACAGAGGTGGCAAGTTGGGGTCCAGTCCATCTTTGCTGTGTGACCTTGGGCAAGTTGCATCACCTCTCTGGGCTGTGGGTGCCTCATCTGTCAGATAAGGATGGTGACTTTTGCCTGCTTCTCCTCTAAGGCAGAAAGATTCTTTGGGATCTAAGGAGCTGGTGGAAAGGGAGACAGGGGACAGGCAGCTGGCGAAGGCCCACACTTCCTTTGGAGCTGGAAGAGACCCACCATCCAGCCCTTCTCCCTGCCCTATTCCATACAGGGAAACTTTCTTTCTTTTTTTCTTTTCCTTTTTTCTTTTTTTTTTTTTTGAGTCAGGGTCTCACTCTGTCTCTCAGGCTGGAGTGCAGGGGCACAACTGTAGCTCGCTGTAGCCTCAAACTCCCAGGCTCAAGTAATCCTCTTATCTCAGCCTCACAAGTAGCTGGGGCTGCAGGCGCATGCCACCACACCAGGCTAACATATGGAGAAACTTTCTAGGGAGGCGGCTCTGTCAGAAGACGAGGAGTGCGGGGAGGGCCTGGCCATGGCCGGCATTCTCCTGTCCCCTCTCCCACAGATCACCTCCCCCATCTCCGGGATCAACGGTGACATCCGGGCCAAGAAGATCGCCAGCATTGCGGATGTCTGTGAATCCATGAAGGAGCAGCTGCTGGTGCTGGTGGAATGGGCCAAGTACATCCCAGCCTTCTGCGAGCTCCCCTTGGATGACCAGGTGAGGGGGGGCATGAATGGCGGGCAGGAGTGGGCACTGGGCAGCCAGCAGCCTGCCAGCCCCCTGGGATACAGCCTTGGACTGGTTTGACTTTATTTAGCAAGACACACACAGTGCACACATGTGCCCAGAACAATTGGAAACACTTTACAAATATTAACTCATTTAGTCCTTCAACGACTCCATGAGGTCGGTACTAGTATTGTTCCCATCGTATAGCTGAGGAAACTGGGGTGCAGAGAGGCTGAGTAACTTGCTCATGGTCACACAGCTACTATGCAGCACAGCTGGGATTAGAACAGGCAGTGAAGCTCCAAGGTCCAGACTCCTGATCACTGCACTGAGTAGTGCTCCTGAGGGCTGTTGACAGGGGGCCCAGGGCCAGGAAGCAGGAGATTTGGGCTTAAGTTCTGGCTCTAATACTGGTTCTCTGCGTGGACAGACTACTCCCTCTCTCTGGGCCTCAGTTTTCTTATCTGTAAAGTGGGAATTATAATATCCATGGCAGAGTGTTGTTGGGAGGACGAAGGACTTCACGGTCTGAAAAGCACAAGGCTCACAGACTGGAGCGCCCACGAGTGGCTGGGCCACAGCTGGCCTCCCCACACATTGGTGGCTTTCTTGTGAAAACGATCTAAGTCAGCATCTTACTTCCCAAAGTACATTCTTTGGAATACAGAAAATAACCTGGGGAAAAGAAAGGGCTGAAGGAAGGTGGGGAGTGTCTGAGGACAGGTGAGTTTCTGGGATGCTACACAGGATGGCTGCCACCCAGAGCACCCCCTCGGCCTCTGAAGAAATGTTCCTGTCTGGGATAGGGGAGTGGGACCAGGTTACCTTCCCTGCTTCGGAGGAAGCCCCCAGTGCATGTGCTTACCTGTTTCACACCTTTGCACAAGAGACTGACAGTGCATGCCGGTCTCTGAGAGCTTCTGAGAAGTCTTGTAGCTGTTTAACTTGCAGAGACCAGGACTTCCCACATGGCTTTGGCCCTCCCTGATCCTTCTGGAAAACCTACTTATGTTGCAGGGTGGAAACACAGGTTCAGCTGATCCGAAGCCTCACACAGAGGCCAGACTGAGACCCTCTCCCTTGGTCCCCCTTTGGTTAGCAGAGTCAACAGGGTCAGATCTTGGACAGTCCGCCCTACCTTCCTCCTGCTCCTTGTGCCCTGGCCCTGGTCCCCTCTGCTGGAGCGTCTGCATTAATGTTTAATCCCTCCTGTTCCTTCCCAGGGGCTTAGCAGGGCAGCAAGATCCCCCCGAGCTGAACAATTGTTAACCTCGATTTCCCACCCAAACCTCCCTGGCTGGGGCTCAGAGCATTCTCAGAGAGCAGTGATGGGTGGCCAATAACACGGGACAATCATTAACCCCCTCCCCACCTGTCTGCCCACCCCTAGAACAGCTGCCATGTCAGGGGGTTGAACCCGGGACCCAGAGGGCTCCAGGCTCTCCATCTGTGGCGTAACAAGACCCCGGCTTGCCCCACACGGGTGCTTCACAGTGGCACTGTCCTCCAAAGCACACCCCAATTCTGTCAACGCGACCCAGGATGTTGCTTTTTGTTGTGTTTTGGACATCTGACCATGGAAACCTAGGAGGCTGGGTCCGATCGGATACGGGGACAGAGGCCTAGAGAGAAAGCCATCTGCCTGAGGTCACAGGGCACGTGAGCTCAGAGCTGGGCTTCGAAGTCACGTCTTCGGCCTCGCAGTATGAAAGCCGCTGGGGTGAATGACGGAAGCCCTGCTCCATGTCTACATCTAGCAGGTGCCCAGTAGCAAGCGTCCTCGGCCTCCCAGCAGGGCCATAGGACGCGAATGCTCCCCTCCAAGCCTGGCTCCCATCTTCCTCCTTTCCTGTCGTCCTCACAAGGTTCTAACCACAACGGCACAGGACGGGCAGGTCCAGGTGGCTGCCCAGGAGGGGCTGGATCTAAAGAGGAAATAAAGGTGTTTGCTCGTTCATTCATCACCCCTTCCTTCCTTTATTCCTTCATTCAGACAAATACTTATTGAAGGCTTACTCTGTGCCAGGTATTGTCCATGATCTACCACTTCGCCTCTTTAGGGAGGCCTTCTCTGACCCCCTCGTCTAATGTAGCCATTTTTGAACTGAGCACAGTGGCTCACATCTGTAATTTCAGTACTTTGAGAAGCTAAGGCTGGAGGATTGCTTGAGGCCAAGAGTTTGAGACCAGCCTGGGCAACATAGCAAGACTATCTCTACCAAAAAAAATTTTTTTTAATTAAAAAATTCTTATCCCATTGACTTGACTTCCCTCCCTCCCTCCCTCCCTTCCTTCCTTCTCTCCCTCTTTCCTTCCTTCCTTCCTTTGTTCCCTCCTTCCTTCCTGTCTTCATTTGTTCTTTCCCCCTCCCCCTCCTCCTTCCCCCTTCCTTCCTCTGTTCCTTCCTTCTCTCCCTCTTTCCTTCCTTTTTTCCTCCCTTCACGCTTTTTAATCCTATCTCCCTCTGTCCTATGTACTTTTTTTTAAACTTTATTATCTGTTCTACCCCACTCCATCATAAAATGTTAGTTCCTTGAGATTAGAGATCTTGTCTCTGTTTTCTTAACACTGTGTCCCCATTATCTAAAAAAAGTGTCTGGCATTTGGTAGGCGTTTAAAATTGGATAACTGAAAGAGTGAACAATCAAATGAATGAGTGAACAAAAGCATGTTAACCTTCTCATTGGGCTTGCTGTAGAACCTGTAGACTCCCTAATCTGGCCTTGAAGGTGAGACCCTTGAGCTACTTGCTTGCTGCTATTTCTTGCCAGCCCATCCTTTGGTCCTCATGCAAGCACTGAAGCCGATGGCTGTGCAAGGGTGGGTGATGTCCTCTTGCAAGTCAGCAGGCCCTACTAGGACTCCAGCCTTCAAAGGCTTGCCTTGTCCCCCTGCAGAGAAGGAGTCTGTCAAGCTGATTCTCTACCAAGGACCAATGCTCACACCTTTGCCTTGGGGAGGACCAGCCCTGAGAACCAACGTCTACATCCACGTCCTTGTAATGCTGTCTCAGGATCCCAGAGTCTTGCACTGTTAAGTGGACATCCCTGGGATGCCACATATGGGGATCGGACCAGTGATTTCCCTAACAGAATTGCACTTCAGAATCAACAGAGGAGTATGTTAATGCAGATCCCTAGTCCTGCCCCACACCTGCAGAATCAGTCTCTGGTAGCAGGACCTAAGAGTATGCATTGTTATAAAGCACCCTTCCTTCATCTTTCTCCATAGCTGGTCCATGGATAGGAATTGTTTTATTTTATTTATTGATTGATTTATTATTTTATTTAATGTATTGAGTCAGAGTCTCACTCTGTTGCCCAGACTGGAGTGCAGTGGTGTGTTCACAGCCACGGCAGCCGAGACCTGCTATGCTCAGGCAATTCTTTCACCTCAACCTTCCAAGTAGCTGGAACTACAGGGTGCACCACCATACCTGGCTAATTTTTCTTGATTTATTGTAGAGACAAGATCTCACCAAGTTGCCCGGGCTGGTCTTGAACCCCCAGGCTCAGGCAATCCTCTCGCCTCCACCTCCCAAAGTGCTAGGGTTATAGGCGTGAGCCACTGCGCCAGGCCGGAAATTCTTTTAGAACTTTTGGGGTTGTAGACCCTTTTGAAACTCAAAAACACACACACACACAATGTTGTTTACAGTTTCGCAGGCACATGGAGGAAGCCCAGGGGAGCAGCTACTGGCCCAAGGACACCGTAGTTCAAGGGCAAAGTCAACGCAAGCTCCCCCAACTTTAGGGGCATGTTCTCCTCGCTTCCAGGTCTCTGCTGAATCCTTTCCAGGTTCCTAGTTCTTCAGATGTGGGAGGAACCAGCAGTTTTATGGTGCCCATTTTGTAGTTCAGGCAAGCAGAGGCAGAGGGAAACTTTAAGCTGACTCACGCAGGGTCAGTGGGTTAGCTAGGAGCGGCCTTCCTGAGGGCGCGGATGCAGACAGTGTTCCTTCTCTCTTTCAGGTGGCACTGCTCAGAGCCCACGCCGGCGAACATCTGCTGCTTGGAGCCACCAAGCGGTCCATGGTGTTCAAGGACGTGCTGCTCCTAGGTGAGGAGGGAGGCTGACTGCCCGGGCTCTACGGGGGGCGCACCCAGTGAGGCACACAGCCAGGCAAGGGAGAGGCACCTGGCAGCAGGCAGAGGCAAAAAAGACCAGTCAGGAGTGGCCCTGTCCTCAGACTAGTGGATGGAGGATTCCAGGTCTCAGGTCTCCATGGAATGCAAGGAATACAATTCCCAGCGTCATGGTTAGAGCACAGCCAGAGTTATCCCTGGAACTCCCCATGTACCCTGACGGTCTCTCTGGAGCCGGAGCAAGAGGTAGTCAGGAAAGGCACAAGGCTCAGCCCATGTCACCTGTGCCTTTGTGACATATTTATTGTCCTCAGTGCTTATGTAGCACACATTATATGCCAGGGGCTATGCTAACTGCTTTACAAACACGACCTCTTTTAATACAACAACTCTGTGAGGGAAGCTCTATTATTCACCCCATTTTATAGATGAGAAAACTGAGGCTCAGAGAGGTTAAGTAATTTCCCCAAATATAGCCAGCTGTAAGTGGTAGAGTCATTCCACGGGGCGCCCCAGTCCCAGAACCGGGTTCCTTAACTTACATGCTTGGTGCCTCCTGAGTGGTCTTTGAATGATATCAGTCTTGTGAGACATGTTGGTCCATGGAGCCTGGGCTAAGTGAAGGAGTCCTAGCAAGCCAGCTTCCAGGCTCAGCCGAGTGAGGGCCGGCACCTCTCCCTCTTCATCTGTGAAAGGACCCTTCAGGTCCTCTTCCCAGCTACCTCGCCAGCGGAAAAGCCAGCACTGGGGTCACCGAGATGACTGCCCACCTCCCTCCTACCCATCCCTCCAGGCAATGACTACATCGTGCCCCGGCACTGCCCTGAGCTGGCGGAGATGAACCGGGTGTCCATGCGTATCCTCGACGAGCTGGTGCTGCCCTTCCAGGAGCTGCAGATTGATGACAACGAGTACGCTTGCCTCAAGGCCATCATCTTCTTTGACCCAGGTACCGTCCACCCCTCCTGCCCTTCCCTGACACTCTAGATCCCCTGGCAGATTTCTCAGCTCGCAACCTCATCTCGTGGTTCACGAGGTGGTTTCCATCAGCTCCACTGAACAGATGCAGCAAGTTGAGGCTCAAAGGGGTGGCATAACTTGACAGGGCATGCTGACTCCAAAGGTCTGGGGTTTTCTTTCCCTTCTTTACTTTCCTCCTTCCTTCCTTCTTTCCCCTTACCTCCTATTTTCCTTCTCTTTCATCTTTGCTTCTTTCCTCAAAAAATGTTATCAAAATAGGCTGGGTGTGGTGGCTCACGCCTATAATCCTAGCACTTTGGGAGGCCAAGGTGAGAGGACTGCCTGAGCCCACAGGTTCGAGACCAGCCTGGGCAACTTGGTGAGACCTCATCTCTACAATAAATCAAAAAACTAGTCGGGTGTGGTGGAACACGCCTGTGGATCCAGCAACTTGGAACACTGAGGCAGAAGGATCACCTGAGCCCAACAGATCAAGGCTGCTGTGGCCATGAGCATGCTTCTCCTGAACTCCAGCCTGGGCAACAGAGTGAGACTCTGATTCAAAAAAAAAAATTATCTAAATAATATCTCTACTACTTAAAATGCAAATAGTTCTCCCCCTCCCAGCCCTTGTTTGCAGCCCAAAGGCTGCTCCCCAAAACACTCTCTGATCCTTTTAACTGTTTCTTCTGGATGAGACCTTGCTGGTTCGAATAAAATGCAAAGCCTTATCTTTCCTAGTGTATCTATTTTAGATCATGTTTTTCCTCCTAGGATGGCTGAGAATTCTGCTTCTCCATCACCATTCCCACCCATCCCATCTTCACAGTGTATTTTATTGCTATTTAAGTGTTTCCGTGGGCTATCTTTGCAACTTTACGTTGTGTGCTTTTATTCCTTTATTTCTTGTTCTGTATCCTGTGGACAGTGTCTTCTGATTGTCCAGGGAGGAGAAAGCCTCCCCCCTTCCTTAAGCTCTGGCTCTCTTCTTCCTGTTCTGTCTACCACCCTTGGCACCTGCACTTTTGCAGAATCTTCACAGTCACTTCTCCCTGCAAAGCCTGCTTCCATTTCTCAGTGTCAAGGTGACTCAGCCCTGGAGGCTGACTTGTGCCCTTCCCTGCTCCCATGTCAGAAAGGCCCTACTGTGTGCCAGGCACTGTCTTGGGTTCTAGGACCCTCTCTGCAGAGATCACCCCTAGTAACAGTAGTGATGAAGAGAAAGGTGGGCACTGTTTATTGAATGCTCACTCAAGCACTGTTTTTTGGTTTTTTTTTTTTGAGTTGGAGTCTCACTCTGTCTCCCAGACTGGAGTGCAGTGGCCGCTCCCGGCCACCGCAGCCTCGACCTGCTGGGCTCTGGCGATCCTTCCGCCTCAGCCTTCCAAGTAGCCGGAATTACAGGCGTGCGCTACCACATCCAGCTGATTTTTTGATTTATTGTAGAGATGAGGTCTTGCTGCCCAGGCGGGTCTCGAACCCGCGGGCTCAGGCAATCCACTCACCTCAGCCTCCCAAAGGTGCGGGATGACAGGCTGAGCCACCGAGCCCGGCTTCAAGCACTGTTTTTGACAGTTGACATGGATTATCTTGCTAACGTGGTGCCTGAGAGGTAGGAATTGCTAGTATCTCCACTATGCAGATAAGGAAACTGAGGCAGGGGAGAGTGATGAACTTGCTCAGGGTCATACCACCTGGAAATGGCAGAGTTTGGATTTGAGCTTCAGCTTTGGACTGTCTATCTGTCAAGTCCTGTTCTTACTTGTCCCACACCACTCTACTCTGCCAGAGGGAGAGACTTCTAGTTCCATTCCCCTCCAGGCCCGGGCGACATTCCCGGCAGGGCTCAGCCCAGGGCCGGGCAGACAGACTCGCTCCATAAAATGTGCAGGATGACTGTGGCTGAGTCAGAGGCAGCAGCCTGAAAGGGCAAGGAGCCTAGTCCAGGGCCTGGCGTGTAGGAGGCACCTAGTATATGCTTGTCAGTGGGACAAAGTAATGCTTCCCCATGGTGCAGTGGAGACAGGCCCCTGGAAATATGGTGGATTCTCTCTCTGATGCTTCCTTTGGCCATCAAAGAGGAAATCGATGCATTACCTCCACAAGGTTGAGATTGAAGTATTGGATGACCTCCTGGGTGCCCTTCTAGACTGAGGATCTAGAACGTATCCCTTGATTTCATTATTCATTCTTTCAGTCATCTGTCACCCCTCATCCGGTGTCTGTTCAATAGATGTGGACTATGCATGGTACTAGGTGATGGGCTTAAAATGGAAGATAGGGCCCATGTCGGTCCCCACAGCTCCCAGTCTAATGGAAGGACAGTTCATCTTGTGTGGTCAGCAGTGATAGAGGAGCCTCAGAAACCTGGGGACACCGGGACACTTATGACACAGACTTAGGAGGGAAGAAAGGAGAAGACTTGCCGGAGGAGGAGCAGCCTAACATGAGTTCCTAAGGTGACAGGAGGCAGGAACCAGGGAGGGGGAGACTGTTCTGACATAGCAGAAATAGCATGGGCTGAGGTCTGGAGAGGGGGACCTCACCAGTGGCCCACAGCCCCAAGTTCACATCATGGCTCTACCAACAGCTAGCTGTGTGACCCAGGGCAAGTCATTTCCTTGCTCTGTGCCTCAGTTTCCCCACGTGTAAGATGAGCAGGTTGCTAGGTGCCTACTGGGCATGTTCCCGAAGCCCTACCCTCTATCCCTTCTCCCTCCCCACTGGTTTAGTGTCTTAGGAAATGTGGTCAAAATCTTCTGCCTGAGTCTTGGCAGCAACGATCGGTGCTAGCGTACTCTGGTTGTTGAGGATCCTCAGTCCTCGTCCCGGCACTGCCAAAGACTCTCTGTGGGATCTCGGGTCACTAGGCCTCTCTTATCTGGGCCCTGCGAGTCAGCGAACATCTGGGTCCTGACTCCCCAGATACTCAGCTGACTCTGCTGCCCTCCCACCCCTGCAGATGCCAAGGGGCTGAGTGACCCGGGCAAGATCAAGCGCCTGCGCTCCCAGGTGCAGGTGAGCCTGGAGGACTACATCAACGACCGGCAGTACGACTCCCGCGGCCGCTTCGGCGAGCTGCTGCTGCTGCTGCCCACCCTGCAGAGCATCACCTGGCAAATGATCGAGCAGATCCAGTTTATCAAGCTCTTCGGCATGGCCAAGATTGACAACCTGCTGCAGGAGATGCTGCTGGGAGGTCCGGAACAGGCATGGGCAGGGTGGGTGGGGCACTCCTGGGAGATAAGTCTCACGCAGACCTAAGGGCACCTTTCCACACCCTGAATTCCCCATGGTGTGGCTTTGGACCAGTTGCTTAACCTGCCTGTGCCTCAGTTTCCCCCTGAGAAAAAGAGAGACAGGAACAATGGTCTATCTATTCAGGAAGTGAGAGACTCGCATGTGCCAGTCACCATTCTTTTTTTGTGTGTGTGAGTCAGAGTTTCACTCTGTCACCCAGGCCGGAGTGCAGTGGCATACTCACAGTCACCGCAGCCTTGACCTGTTGGGCTCAGGCGATCCTTCTGCCTCAGCCTTCCAGAGTCACTGTTCTAAGCCTTGGTGGTTATTATCAGCAAAGAGCAAGATATTTGCCCTCCTGGGGGCCAGGTGTGCATGTGCATACACAAGTGTGTATGTGCACACATGGGCATGTGTGTGTATATAAAGGCTCGTGGGTACAGATAATAACCAACTATAAAATAAAGAAGGCAACTACAGATTTTGAAACACACAGGTAATACGATGGGTTTAGCTGAAAAGGGTGCCTCTTTAGATGGGCAGAGGGAGACTCTGACTCTGACTCTGAGGTGGTGACTCTTGTGCTAAGACCTGATGGATGAAAGGAAATGGAAACTTTCAAATCCAGGAGAACAACCTAAGCAGAAGTCACTGGTTCAAGCCCCTGAGGCAGGAGAGGTTTGTGTGTTTGAGAAAGAAGGGCAAGGCTGTGAGATGGGGAGATCGTGAGGTGAAGATGGAGACTGAGCAGGAACCTAAGCCTACAGCTTTGTGAACCCCAGGCAGAAAGTTGGGTTTTATTCTCATTGCAACCATTGTAAGGAGAAGAAATCAGACTAACGTTTTAAAGGATCCACTTTGATTGTTGGATAGAGAGTAAATTTCAGGTGGGCAAAGTGAAGGCAAGAGACCCCGTGAAAGTCACTGTCTCCAGTTATGTGAAGGACAATGGAGGCTGGGACCATGGAAATGGAACAGTGGAAATAAACTTGACATCTGTTTGGAGGAAGAGCCCACAGGATTTTCTGATCAGATGTGGGGAGTGAGAGGAAGAGGAAGAGTCATGGATGAAGCCTACAACTTGGCTTTGAATAGAAATAATGGTGGAGCAACTTGCTGAGATAGAGAAGACTGACCAAAAAAACAGCTCGAGGCTGGGTATGGGGGTGGTAAAGGAGTGACCCCAGAGATCCGTTTGGAACTTGCCTTAAACATGAGTGGCTATTAGATATTCAGGCTGGGTTATCAAGGAGTCAGTTGAATGTATGAGTCTGTTGCTCAGACACAAGTTGAAGGGCAGCTCCGTGGAGTCAAGGGAAGAGAAGACAATGGAGGAAGGCTAGTCATGGGGGTAGGAGAAAAGCAGGAAAATTACAGAATCCAAGAGAAGAGCATGTTTGAAGGAGAACAGAGCACTTACTGGGGTTAATCTCTACAGAGAGAGAAAGAGAGAGGAAGGAGAGGTGAAGGAGGAGGGGAAGAGAGGAGGGAGGTGTCCATTGGCTTGGCATGTGGTGGCCCTTGGCAGTTGTGTGGTGAGCAGGGTCAGAGCTGGGGAAATGGAAACCAGATTGGAGAGTGTTCCAGAGAGCGTGAGTGCGAGAGTGAGGAGGTGGAGATAAGAGTGGACAACCCTTTGAATGTGTTTGACTATGAAGGGGATGATGAGGAAGTTGAGGGTGACTGCCAGGGAGTGGTTAGAATGATAGACCGCGGAATCTTGCTGCACCCAAAGAGAAATAAAGGTGGCGTGATAGAGAATGAAGAGTGGCGGTCAGTGAATTGACAGCCTTCGTTGGGCTGAAGAATTTTCACAGTGGCGATACTAAACTAAGAGAGCTGGAAGGGCAGGAGGTGAAATCAAGTGAGGATGCTTGAACTGGAAATTTTGGAGGCAATAGAGTAAATGGTGCTGATGTGGCCTAGGGCAAGGTTTCTCAGCCTCAGCACTATTGATATTTGGGACTGGATAATTCTTTGCTGTGTTAGGCTATCCTGCGCATTGTTGAGCTGCATCCTTGGCCTCTACCTATGAGATGCCAGTAGCACTTTTGGTGACAGCCAAAAACCTTCTCAGGTATTGTAGCATGCCTCCTGATGGGCCCAAATCAGTCCCAATGGGGATTACTGTCACGTGGTTGCTCATTTCATTCTCATTTTGACCTTGTGAATATGAGGCTATGGTGAATCAAGTATCATTGAGATCAGCATCAGGAGCTTGTGATCTGTTGCCTGATAAATTGGGGAAGATTTTTCAGGGCCCTATGATCATCTCATCTGTAGAGTGGCCTAATAACAGCATCCACCCTATAGGATTGCTGTGAAGATTTATTTACATAAAACATGGAAACTGTACCAGTACCTCAAGAATTGTTCTCAAGAATTGTTAGTTTCTTTGAAACAGATGTACTTTAGAGGTCTCTTCCAAGCCTTAAAATTCCATCATTGTCATATTACTGACACTGGCCTGTTACTAGACTATACTCTCTATGGTATGATCACTCCCTGACACATTTTTTGAAGCAGTTACTGTGTGCCAGACACTTTGCTAGGCCCTTAAAGAAAAAAGAAATATCTACCTGGAAATGTAATGCTCATAGACAGAACAAGTGACTGTTTTCAAAAGTTGGGTTACAGATAAATTACTGTGGGAATTGAGAGAAAACCGAGGAAGAAGAGTAAAGAGAATCAAAAGAGGCTTCCAAAAGGAGAGACTATACAAGCTGAGATTTGAACTTTTGGACATGGGGGATGGAGAAGTCACCTCTGATGGCAGCAGCAGAGCAAAAGCATTGAGACAGGAAAACGCAGGATGCTATAAGTGAGTCAGCTTGGCTGAAGCAGAGATGTGGGGGTGAGGCTGAAGGGTGAGGTGAGACCAGATGATTGAAGGACTTGCATGCCAAGGAGGTTTGAGAATCACTTATTAAATCCATTAATATTACTATGCAACCAATATATGACTCATCATAATATGTCAATGATCTCGAAGCTTCTTTATGTGCACCTTGTTTCTTTCAAACCACTTTTGTTCTCTTGGTTTGTTGGGTCCTCTCATCACCCCCTGAAGCCTATGGATAGGAATGGTAAGCCCTCATTTGCTAACCCAGGAACAGGTACCCAACAGGCACTGCCAATGTTGGATGGGCAGGTTGATTGGCCACGCCTGAGGAAGATGGTATGCCAAGGCCTGTGGTCCTTATTCCAGACTCTCCACCTGATCAACTTTCTCTCTACCTGTAGGGTCCTCCAGTGATGCACCCCATGCCCACCACCCCCTGCACCCTCACCTGATGCAGGAACACATGAGCACCAATGTCATTGTTGCCAACACGATGCCCACTCACCTCAGCAATGGACAGATGTGTGAGTGGCCCCGGCCCAGGGGGCAGGCAGGTGGGCAATCTGGGCTCTATCTTGGAAGGGGTGAGGATGGGGGTCTAAAAGAGGAGGTGGGAGAAGGTGGAGTCTAGAAGGTGGAACTGAGATACAACAGTTTTCTATGCTTCAGGGTAGGGGATGGGGGGTGAAGTTGTCCATTTGTTAAGGCTTGTTGGCTCAGTAAGGTGACTGACATCCTGTATTGAACGAAGCTTTCCTGGGGATGAGGTAATGCATTAGATGAGGCTACCAATGGAATGAGGACATCTTTTGGGTGAGAATCCCATGAGGTGACATTGTCCCCTAATTATAAGTGTTCGTTGATGCCCAATTGGGTAAGGCTATCCCTTAGACAATTGGATGAGACTATCCATTGGGTAAGGATGGCCACTAGGTTAGACCATGGTCTGAAATCTCCAAAGTGTGAGTTTGTCATTGGGTAAAGTTCTTCAAAGAATGGGGTGGTCCACTGAGGTGAGTTGGCATTTCATTGAGATTGTTCTTTAGGAAAGTTGTCCACTGAATAAAGTTGACCAATTGGGCCAAAGTTGTTCTCCAAACCTGTGATGAGGGTGGGGCCCATTTGTTTCTGTTACTTACCTTCTAAATAGCCAAGTTATGATATTTTTTGAGCCAGTTAACTCTGGGTCTCGTCAACTGCTGCTTCTTCTCCCTGTCACTCATCCCATTACCCTTGGGGACAGTCAGACCTGGGAACTGGTTTGGAAGAAGCAGCCCAAGTCTCCATATCAAATGGGAAAGTTGGAAGATGGGCCTTCTAGACCCCATAGAACTTAGATGCTATGATCTGGAACTCACAGAATGTTTGAGAAGAGATTTTAAGTATTATCTGATTTAATTATCTTATTTTATAGAAGAGGGACTAAGTCTCGGGGGCAGGGAGAAACTTTTCCAGGGCTCTTAATTTACTGCCCCAAAGGCTAGAATTTTGAGCAGCCCTGTCTGTCTGTTTGTCCTTCCAGCCACCCCTGAGACCCCACAGCCTTCACCACCAGGTGGCTCAGGGTCTGAGCCCTACAAGCTCCTGCCAGGAACCATCACCACAATCGTCAAACCACCTTCCGCCATTCCCCAGCCGACCATCACCAAGCAGGAAGTCATCTAGCAAGCCGCTGGGGGTCGGGAGTTCTGCTGACTCCCCCTAACCCCCTCAGAGAGAGCCTGGTGATCACCTGACCACAATAAAGGAAGGCGTGACACCAGGGCCAGTCCTGGAGCAGTAATAGAAGAGCAAAGGGCCCAAGCACTTGCCCTGAGGGCCACATCCCACTGCCATGCTTGACACCCTGCTCTGGATGACTGGCTTTGACTTGGGGAGACCCCAGCTGGAAAGCCCTCTGCTGCCTGGGACAACTTTCTCATGTTGAAGCCACTTCCTGCACCTTCATCCATATCTAACCCCACCTTCTTCGCCCCCAAAGAACAGCTGTCAGGAGATGACATGGGGCCTTGCTAAACTCAGCTCCCTTCTCCTTGAGATTGGTGCTTCTTCTCTCCTGGTCTGGGTCATGGTGTTCAAATGCAAAGCCCCATGAGGCTGGGCCAGGTTGCGGCATCTCACTTCTCTCTCTCTCGCTTTCCCCACCTCAAACACCCCCCTCTCTCTCTCTGCTGTCACCTTCCTTGGCCATCCTGTCTTCTCCAAAGCCACCTTTCGGAGGCCGAGGAACAATTCTCCATGTTCTTCCCAGAACATCATGTCAGAGTGACTGGAGCCAGGCAGAGTGTAGGGGCCTGTGGTGAAGGAAGATGCCCTTTTCCCGCCAGCCCCACTGCACACCCCTTTTTCAGGGACCTGGGTGTGTATTTGCAGTGATGATCCCTATAGGCTTTCAACATGAGCGAACAAGCCAGGGTTGACAACTGCACTAGGAACTTGCGGGAGGCAGGAGTGGTCAGAGAAACATCTGGAAAGAGAAGGACCACTCACTAGGCCTTTGAGGAAGGCTAGACTTCAGCTGGTAGAACAGGTGATACAGGACATCCCAGAGAGAAGCTTGGGCCAGAGCCCCGAGGAATGAAGGGTATGGGAGAGAGACAATGAGAGAGAGAGAGGCTCTGCCAGAGAGCATGGGGCCTGGAATGCAAGACCGAGGCCCTTAGCAGCGGGGGAGGGGCTGTGGTGAGCTGGGCTTCCAGGAGATGGAAACAGCAGGCCTGCAGGGGTGGAGGGCTGGGAGCAGGGAGGTTGGATGGAGCAGATGATGTCGTGTGATAAGGCTTGCAGGTGGAGAGGAGAGGCTAGGTGGACCCCGAGAACAGAGCGACATGGAGGAGGAGCGACCCCCAGGGCCTGTCTCAAGCGCTTCCTTACGCCCAGGCACTGTCTTAAGGCACTCAACAGGCATCATCTCACTCAACCTCCCTGTTACCTAGAGATTGTTATAGGGGATGATACTGAGTTCTTACAGATGAAGTGATTTTTTTCTGAAACTCTCACAGCTAGTAAGTGGTGAGTCAGGACTTGAACCCAGGTCTCCCTGGATCAGAACAGGTGCTTTTTATAGCCTTGACCTGCTGGGCTCAGGCAATCCTTCTGCCTCAGCCTTCCAAGTAGCTGTGACTACAGGCACACGCCACCATGCCCAGCTAATTTTTTGGTTTATTGTAGAGATGAGGTCTCGCTAAAGTTGCCCAGGCTGATCTCGAACCCCTGGACTCAGGCAGTTCTCTCACCTCCACCACCCAAACTGCTAGAATTACAGGTGTGAGCCACCGCTCCTGGCAGAAAAGGAACTCTTAATCACCGTGGCTGAACATCTCCTCTGAAAGGGTCCCTCTGTCCTCTCTGAGATGGAGTTAATGAACTTCCTACCCCTTCAAAGACCCGTTCTTCCCAGGGTCCTGCCCACTCCCAGGATCAAGATTGGCTTGAGGCTGCACTCAAATCCACCTGGGGTCCAGAATCCTGTTTGTGGATAAATATTAAGGAGAATTCATGACTCTCGACCCCTTTTCTCTCTTCATTCCCCAAGCCTGGGGGAAAGGTGGCAGAAGTCTGGTTCCCGGGAGTCAGACCAATCTGGTCCAGCAACCTAGGGGTGGGACTATTTGAAGGGTGGGGGGCGGGGAGAAGGAGTTGGGGCAGGAGGGGAAGGCTATAAAGGCCTGGGTTTGAGGCCTGCTCTGAGGATCATCACTCATGGGTGCGTTCTGGAAACATTTAATCCCAGGATGGAGCAGGTAGCCCCTCATCCAGGCAGAATCTTAGTGGCTTTGGGGACATTCTCGAAAAGGCTACTGAGACAATGGGACTAAAAGGGACAGGTCTAAAGGGACATGTCCTGGGGCTGGAGGTGTGATGAGGTAGGAAAGAGAACTGTTAGACTGACTACTTAGCCTCCACCCAAGGCTGACCCCTCTGAGGGGACGGGGACAACGCCCCAGTGCTCAGAAACTTCACTGTTCATGACGGTCCCTTTTTGCAAAAGAGGCATGGAGAAGTATTGGCACTGTGCACCAGAGAGAAATCTCCACATCCCAGGACTGTCAGGATTGCCTTCCCAGGCCACCAAGCCAAGTCCCTGTGGTCCCAGGAGAGATTGCCCCCCTGCTCAGAGCTCCCAAGCCTTCCTCTGCACCCCCACTCCAGTGCACCAGAAATCCTGCCAGATGGCTCAGGCTGGTCTGCAGCCAGGCAGGGACGCTGGAATCATTCTGGCCATTGCAGTCATTCCTACTCGGTTCCTCTGCCCCCGTGTTGCTCGGGCCCCCGTCATGGGAGCAAAGTTGAGATGAAAATGTCCCACAGAGTAGAATGGAGTAAAGTGGCCTAGAATGGCAGCAGTCTTCTGGGGCAGGGGTCAGCCCTCTGCACCAATCCACTCTTTCTGGAGGAGAGATCTGTTCCACTTTGAGATTATTGCAACATGGGAAACATACAACAAAGCTGACTTTTCTGACTCTAAGCTACCTGAGTAGTGGTCCTAAAACATAAAATCAGATGGACTAGAAAAGGGCCAAGAATGGGCTCTACAATTCCTCCACCAAGACACCCCATTCTGCAGACAGCTCTAAGGAGCTCCTAGAATCCACACGGCTCTCCTGAGAGTGGATAGAGGAGAGGAGGGGGTCAAAAACAGATGCTCTTCTATTTCTCATAACAACCAAGCTAATTACTTTCACCAAATTATTCTGTGATCTGCCCCGATTAAGATCAATCATGAAATTCACATCAAGCAATTCCGGAAGTGGGCTGGGTCCCTCCAAAGTGATCCACAGCTTCCTATGGGTGTGAATGTCATCAGGTACTGCGCTGACCCCTGAGCCCCCATCACTGCCGCCCGATGGGGCAAAGAAGCAAAAAAACATTTCTTACTCTTGTGTGTTTTAACAATAGTTTATAAAACAAAATAAATGGCACGTATGTTTTCTAAGTCCTTGGATGCATGTCTTTTCTCTCTTTCAGATGTTAGAAATGAGAATGAGGGTAGTCTTATAGTTCTTTATAGTGTACCAAATTCTTTCCTTCCTTCCTTCCT